CCCTGGAGAGAATCAGGACTCACAAGCCCCTGGAAAAAAACATCCTTGGAGAAGGTCAAGATCCACTAATCCCTGGGAATAACTTTGGGGAAAAACACTAATCCCTGGGAAAAACACTCCTAGAGAGGGTCAAGACTCACAAACTCCAGGGAAAAAAAACCCTGGAGAGAATCAGGACTCACAAGCCCCTGGAAAAAAACATCCTTGGAGAAGGTCAAGATCCACTAATCCCTGGGAATAACTTTGGGGAAAAACACTAATCCCTGGGAAAAACACTCCTAGAGAGGGTCAAGACTCACAAACTCCAGGGAAAAAAAACCCTGGAGAGAATCAGGACTCACAAGCCCCTGGAAAAAAACATCCTTGGAGAAGGTCAAGATCCACTAATCCCTGGGAATAACTTTGGGGAAAAACACTAATCCCTGGGAAAAACACTCCTAGAGAGGGTCAAGACTCACAAACTCCAGGGAAAAAAAACCCTGGAGACAATCAGGACTCACAAACTCCTGGGAAAAACATTCCTGGAGAGGGTCAGGATCCACAAACCCCTGGGAACATCCATGGGGTGTCCTTGCTGGTGGGTGGAACAGAGCTGAGGGGTCAAGGATCCACAAACACTTTGGGAAAAATCCCCTTGGGAATGTCAGGATTCACAAACCCCTGGGAAAACACCCTGAAGAGGGTCAGGATTCACAAACCCCTGGGAAAACACCCTGAAGAGGGTCAGGATCCACAAAGGCCTGGGAAAAACACCCCTGGAGAAGGTCAAGATCCACTAATCCCTGGGGAAAACATTTTTGGGTGAGGTCAGGATTCACAACCCCCTGGGAAAAACACTCCTAGAGAGAGAGGGTCAAGACTCGCAAACTCCAGGGAAAACCCCCCCTGGAGAGAATCAGGACTCACAAACCCCCTGGGAAAACCCCCCCCGGGGAGGGCTGAGGCCCCCAGAGCCGCCGCGGAGCCCCCGGAGGGGATTCCAGCCCCACCTCCATGACCTCCTTGCGGATGTCGACGATGCGGAACCAGTGCAGGAGCTGGGGGAAGCCCTCGAGCTTGGCATTGCGCTCCTGCAGCGCCACCTTCCTCTTGCACGACAGCTGCCGGCTGAAGTACTTCACCAGCTTGCTCTGGAAAAGAAGGAAAAACCCCCTGGGATCCCCCTGGATGGTCCCCCAAGGCGGGAGGGGGGTGAGCACAGGGAGCTCTGACATCCAGGCTCGGGATAGAGAGACCCCCAAACATCCCCCAAAGACACACTCCCCTCTTACAGCCAGTGCCAAGGGACCCCCCAAACATCCCCCACAGGCCACACTCCCCTTAGACCCAGACTTAGTACAGAGAGACCCCCAAACATCTCCCAAAGACACACTCCCCTCTTACAGACAGGCTCGGTGCCAAGGCACCCTCCAAATTATCCCACAAAAGACACTTCCCTCTTACATCCAGACTCAAGACAGAGGGACCCCCCAAACACCCCCTAAAGGACACACTCCCCTCTTAAAACCAGTGCCAAGGGATCCCCCAAACATCCCCCCAAAAGACACTCCCCTCTAACATCCAGACTCAAGACAGAGGGACCCCCAAACATCCCCCAAAGACACATTCCCCAATCTTACACCCAGGCTTGGTGCCAAGGGACCCCATAAACATCCTCTAAAAGACACACTCCCCTCTTACAGCCAGGCTTGGTGCCAAGGGATCCCCCAAAATGTCCCCCAGAGGACACCCTTCCCTCATAAACCAAGCGGTTTAGGGACCTCCAAACATCCCCCACAGGCCACGCTTCCCTTACACCCAGACTTGGTAGAGAGAGACCCCCCAAACATCCCCCAAAGACACACTTCCCTCTCCCACACCTAAACTTGGTGCCAAGAGATCCCCCAATCATCCCCCCAAAAGACACTCCCCTCTAACATCCAGACTCAAGACAGAGGGACCCCCAAACACCCCCCAAAGGACACACTCTCCTCACTCCCAGTGCCAAGGGACCCCCAAACATCCCCCACAGGCCACGCTTCCCTTACACCCAGACTTGGTAGAGAGAGACCCCCCAAACATCCCCCACAGGCCCCCCCTCTCTTACACCCAGACTTGGTGCCAGAGGCCCCCTCAGTCTTCCCCCAAAGAACACATTCCCCTCTCTCACATCCAAATTTGGTTCCAAGGGACCCCCGAACATCCCCACAGGCCACACTCCCCTCTCTCACACCCAGACTCGGTGCCAAGGGCCCCTCTGAGCCCCCCCAGGGCACCGGGCACAGCCCCACACGGTGCCAAGGCTGGGCCAGGGCTCTTTGCTCCTCCTTCCTCCCTCCTTCCCCCCCTTGCTCCTCATCACCAGCACTGAAATCACCGCCCCTCTTGGCTCTTTTTTACCCCCCCCGCGATTGTCCCCCCCGAGCCCTCCCACCGCCAGGTGACATTCGCGGCTCCCAAAATCAAGCCGCCGAGCTCCTGCCCTCTCCTTTCCCTGCCGAGAGGGATTTCCCCCTCCCGCTTTTCCAGCCGGGGGATTCCCGGCCCCGGCGGCACTGGGTGGTGCTGTGCCTCTGCTCCCGCACCCCCCAAAAAACAGAGGAACAGAGGAGCAAAATACGGGGCGGTTCGGGATCGAGAAGTGAGGGGAGAACCCCGCCGTGGGGTCTGGGAGAGCTTTCCCGTCTCTGCCGGTCCCTCCCCTCGTGGTACCCGCTGGTGATGGGCACAGGGCTTGGCATCGACCCCAAAGTCACCCCCCAGGGGCGTGACAGCCCTGCCAGGAGAGGGACACCTCGGCCGGGCAGGTTTTCCCAATCCCTGACTTGGCGAACAGAGATTAATTATTGCAAATTCATCCCCAGGAGAGAGACGGGAACAGCAAAGCCACTCCCCGGGGGGGGCTGCGGCCCCCCTCCCCCCCCAGGGTCTGCAGAGCCCTGACCCCCTTCCAGGGCTGCTTTTTAGGGAAAAACACTCTCCCAGCACAACCCTTCCAAGGTTTCGGGGTCATCCCTGCTCGCACATCCCAGACCCACCCCAGGCCCTCGGAGCTGGGACGGCGGCAGGAACCTCAAACACACACACGGGCAGCTCCTGCCTCCCAAAAAACGTCCTTACCCACACACAGCTGCGGCAAAACACCGGGAAAAACCATCCTGGAAACCCAGCTCCGCCCCCCACAGCCTGTTCTCCATCCAAGCTCCCCGTCCGGGAGCCCGGGAGGGAATAAAGGGGATGGCTGAGCCACCAGAGCTGGGGTCAGGACACTACAGAGGTGTGCTGGGAGCTGGGAACGGGGAAAAGGTGGGAAAATGCGGGGGGTTTCATTTCCAGGTGGGGGAAATTCATCCCAAACCCTTCCAACGAGGACCCAGCTGGGACCCCCGGGAGCGGGCTGGTGCTCTGGCCCATGGATCGGCTCCTCCCAGGGAAAAACAAGCCCAAAAAATCCTCTGTGAAGTCCCCGAGCGCCCGGTGTTTTGCTGGAGCTGGAAAGGGAAGCCGTGGAGATGGCCCCATCCCGCAGGGAAAACCCCATCCCGCGGCTGCGGAGGGGCTGTCCCGCCCCTGGAGCCGCCCTCATCCCAGGATGGAGCTTTTCCAGAGGTGGGAAGTGCTGCTCTGCCGCGTTCCCGCTGTGGCACAACCCCCCCAGCTCCCCCCTGCCTCAGCTTCCCCCTCTGGACTCGGACAGAGGGACACCCCGGGGGGCTGCGGGGATGGGCTGGAATTCCATGGATCCCCCCGCTCCTCACTGCGTGGGAATACACCCCTGGTCCAGCCGGGAATGCTGCTGAGAGCACTGGGAGGGCACCCCAACACCCTCCTTGGAGCTGGGGGTCGCTTTTCACACCCTTCCCAGTGTCTCTCCCTGCTCCAGCGCCCGGGAAAAGGACACAAAACATGGATCAGGGCTCCCACAAACCGGTGGGTGGCTCCAAGGATAACTCCAGGATCGGCAGTTCCCCGTTCTTCTCGGCGCTGGGTGATATTCCCGGCTGTCCCAGGGAACTGCGCTCTCTGTACTACCCCCGCTCCGCGTCAAAACATGGATCGGGATTCCCAGGAACCGCTGAGTGGCTCCAAGGACAACCCCGGGACTGGCAGTTCCCTCTCCAGCTCCTGCGAGGGAGGGGGAGCCCTCCCAGGATGCTGCGTGAACACGGGGGTGAGGATGGGAAGAGGCGCCTTGGGAAGAGCTGAGGCCATTCCCAAACTTCCACGGACAAAACGGGATGAAGCCGCGGGGATCCCGTTCCCCTTGGAGGGGCCAACAGCTCCCGGGCTCCCGCAGCTCCTTGGAAAACGAGGTGCCCGCTGCCCGGGGGTGGGCTCTGGCACGGGAGGGATGTCCCCACTCCCTTTCCAGCCTCTTCCCATCGCTCCCAGCAGGATTTTCCCGTCCCCCCCAAAGCCCAGCGGGGCAGGGAGCGGCTTCTCTCCCCCCGCTTGGCGGGCACCGGGAGCGGAGCAGCCGCTCTCCAAGGTCTCCCAGGTCTCCAAGGAGCGGGAGGAGGGCGGCCGTTCCCCCCTCCCTGACGTCAGCCGGGCCTGCCGGGAGACCGGGAAGAGGCGGTGGAAAATCCACCTGTGGGAGTTCATCAACCCGGCAGAGCTACGGCGGCCAGAGCCACCCCGCGCCCATGGAATGCCCATCCCGCCTGGATGGCACGGCGGGATCAGCCCCTGCCTTCGTGCCGCGAAGGGGAGAGAGGTCGCGCCGCGCTTCCCAATATTCCTTCCCGTGGAGCAGAGACACAACGGGAGCGGCTCCTTCCCGGCTCTCGCCGAGGGGCTCGTTATTCCAGAGCCACCTGGAGCGCCCTGGGGCTCGGGAATTCCTGCCCACGGCTTCGGTTTTCCCTCTCAGGGCTCTCCCAAGGCCCCGCTGGGCTCCCGTGTTGGCTCTGCCTCCGCACAGCCGCTATTCCAGGGGCTGCCAAAGGGGCTCCCCCCGGGAATACAGGGGCTGAACTGTCTCCATCCAGACTCCCGGGAGGATATAACCCAGGGAGAAGCGTGCCGTGCTCATCCATGGGATTAGACACCAGAGAATCCACACACTCAGGAGTGGGAATCATGGAATCATGGAATGGTTTGGGTTGGAAAGGACCTTAAAGCTCCTCTCTCCCAGGGCAGGGACACCTCCCACCATCCCAGGTTGCTCCAAGCCCCATCCAACCTGGCCTTGGACACTTCCAGGGATCCAGGGGCAGCCACAGCCTCTTGGCAAATCCCAGTGCTGGGGCAGCATCTCCTTTGGCCACAGCCCGTGGAAGTTTGGAAACGGCCAAACTTCCCAAGGTGTCCCTTCCCATCCTCACACAGCAGCCAAAAGTATCCCGGGAGGGTTCCCCCTTTCCTGGCAGCCTGGGGAGGGGGAAGTGCCAGTCCTGGAGTTATCCTTGGAGCCACCCATCAGGCTTTGGGACGTGTTCTGAGTTGGGATGAGGGTAGCACGGAGAGCACAGTTCTGTGGGAGAGTTAGGAATATCACCCAGCACTGAGCAACTTTTCCAGCTGCTCTTCCCAACCTCTGGCAAACACGCCTGTATCAGCTCCCCCTGTCCGTGTCTACACCCCAAATCCCAAATTTAGAGCCACAAAGCCAGACCTGCCACACCTGGACAGGGCTAAAACCCCACAGCCCAGGCAGGGCTCTGGGATGGACACTCAGCTCCCACCCATGGGAAGCCAACCAGCCCCAATTCCCACCCCAGGTGCTGCTGGTTGATGGTTTGATCCCAGACACTGCCTTGGCTTCCACGGGAGCCTTTCCCAAGGCACAAGCAAGCCCAAAAAGCCTCCCAGCTCCAAGAACTGCCACTGGAACCAGGCTGCAGTGGTGGCACCCATCCCAAAGGATTTATCCTGGGAAGCAGTTACCAGCAGGATGGGGGCTCATGTCTGCCTCAAAGTGGTTTAAAACAAAAAAAGGACAGGAAAAACCTCTATTAATCCAGCAAAATCAAAATTTAGCGTATGAGAATCAACCAAAAAAACATGGATTCACCCATTTTATTCCAGGCTTGCGCTGGTGGGAGGGCTGGGAGGTCACCCTGGAGGTGAGATGCCCTCCCAGTCCACACGTTCCTGGTCACCATTCCCTTTGCCATGGTCTGGCTCTGCTGCCACCAGATGGGAGGGGAAGAGGTGCTGAGTGAAGCCTTGGAGTCTGTGTCACATCCTTGGGATGCAGCAGTGGCTCAGGGACTCAGGGAATCAGGGACTCAGGGATTCAGGGATTCAGGGACTCAGGGCCAGGCTCGGCTCCTGCTCCCACTGGTGACAACCCAGGACAACACCAGACCCATCCTGGTGTGCTGGCATCGGGAATCTGGCCCTGGGATTCATCCATTGCCACTCCCTGTGTGGGAATCCCCCTGGTTTTGTGGTGGAAAGCAGGGATGCCCGTGGATGAGACATCCCAAGGTTTGGGGGTGTTTCAGGGGTGGCGATGCCAGGGCTCCCCATGGTGGGCACAGCACGATCCATAGGGGCTGGAGAGGGGTTTGCCTGGGAGCTCGAGGGATTTCCAGGGTGGCATCACCCCAATCTCCTCCAAACCCTTCATCCAGCCCACACTGAGCTGCCCCAGTGACACCAGGATGCTGGGAAGGGGAATCCCACCGGGACGGACTTCAGCACACTCTGCCTTCCCTCAGTCCCATCTGTGACAGGGAGACAGGGAATTCTCGGCTGTGCTGACCCCAACAAGGCCATCATTCCAGGTGGGATAAACTCCTGTAGTCCTGCACCTCCAGGCAGGTTCCACTGGGGGGTTTTGAGCCTGCCTGCCCCCCACAAAGTCTCCTGCACACCCCAAAACCGCTGCAGCCCCTCTCCCGAGGTCACTCCAGGACCAACAGCTCCAGGCTGAGCCCACACGGAGAGGTGGGATGGGACAGGGCTTGGATCAAGGGGAGGTGACAGCAGGATCAGAGTGGGATGCACACAGGCTGGGATACAGAGCAGGAGCTGCTCCCAAACCTGGGATCACCCAGTGGCACAGCAGTGGGGTGGCGATGCCCCACCTGCTCCCACGGGACCTTCGGGAGCGAAGGCAGCGGGACAGGGTGTTCCAAACACGGCCTGGAGCCAAAAGCTGCCCCACAGAGGGGCTGCAGGACCAGCCAGAAGGCCTGAGCAGGGCCAGGCTCCAAAATTCCCCCCACCCACAGCCCTGGCTCCACATCAGCCGCCCCCACAGCACCACAGCCCCGCCGGCGGCTCCTCAGGGTCACGGCACCGTGCTGCTCCTGCTCCGGGCTCACCCCCCGGCAATTGCAGCCTGCCTGGGCTTTCCCTGGGCATTCCCTGCCCGTCCCAGCCTGCCTGGGCTTTCCCTGGGCATTCCCTGCCCAGCCCAGCCTACCTGGGCATTCCCAGCCCAGCCCAGCCTGCCTGGGCATTCCTTGGGCATTCCCTGCCCATCCCAGCTTGCCTGGGCTTTCCCTGGGCATTCCCATCCCAGTCCAGCCTGCCTGGGCATTCCCTGAGCATTCCCAGCCCAGCCCAGCCTGCCTGGGCATTCCCTGGACATTCCCTACCCATCCCATCCCAGCCACCTCCTGCTGAACCCTCCCTTCATCCCAGCTGGGGCTCAGCACGCTCCAAGGGGAACCTCATCCCTTTGGAGGCAGGAGCACGGGAGGATGAGGCCAGGCCAGGGGGATGCTCCTGGTGGGAGGGCTGGGGGGCCAGGGAGGGGGGATGCAGGTGGGCTAGCAGGATGCTGCCCGGTGGGAGGGATGCAGGTGGGCCAGCAGGATGCTGCCCGGTGGGAGGGAGGCAGCCAGGCCAAAGGGGAGGTGGGAGCCACTGGAA